GTTTTCTGCGCGCACATGTGTATTTCGGTGGCCGGGGGGTGGGGGTGGGGGGGAAAACGGAACTAAAGACGGAGCCACGGCTTCTGCTGGCGCCCAGGTGACTCGATGCCTCCTGTGCTCGGACGGGAACCGCAGCCCGCCCTTCGCGTCCGGCCGTTAGCGACTTGCAGGCTAACGCCCCTGACAAATCAAAAGACGCAACTGCAGAGGCGCCGAAACGCACCAAGTTCCTGCCTCTCAGCTCCTCCGCCCGCTCCGCGCCCAGGAAGCAGTAACTGAGCTCCTGGCTCCGCAGCCATTCTCGGAACTTGCAGGACTTTTTGCGCCGTTTGCCATGTTGCAGACAGTTTCCAGGACTTTTTGCGCCGTTTGCCATTTTGCAGACAGTTTCCAGGACTTTTTGCGCCGTTTGCCATTTTGCAGACAGTTTCCAGGACTTTTTGCGCCGTTTGCCATTTTGCAGACAATTTCCAGGGCTTTTTGCGCCGTTTGCCATTTCTCAAGCCGTGTTGACCCAGCCGTGTTGACACAGCAGCCACAGTGTCAGTGGGAGGCCGCCCCAAAGGCCCGCTCTGTCCTTGAGTTAGCTTGGAGGTTTACAAAGGACTGAGCATTTCACATGCATCATCTCATTTATTCCTCACGCATAAGCCCGGGGGGTAGTCCCTACACCAGAAGGTTGTGGGTTCGATTCCCAGCCAGGACAGTACCCAGGTTGCGGGTTCGAATACCGGCCAGGGTACATACCCAGGTTCGACCGCCCAAGGGGCGCATAGGGGAGGCAACCGATTGATGTTTCTCTCACTTGGTTGCTTCTCTCTCATTTCTCTCTCCCTTTTTCTCTAAAATCAACTATAAAACACACTTAAAAAAGTAATCCCGGGGGTGGCACAGATGGAACAAGGTGGAAGGCCTAGGCGACGGGGTCACACTTACATGTTCCTATGAAAACTATTTGAATATTTGTTTTATATGGATTTTTATTCAATTCTCAAACATGCTACCGCAGAGCGCCCCTCAGCTGCCAGGCAAGCATTTCAGAAATAAAAAATAAAAAATAAATTAAAAAAAAAGTAATCCCACGGGTCAAATATGGTTACAAGTCCCACTTTACCGAATCTTGAACTCATCTGCAAGGCGGGAACCAGTAGTCAGCACTCTACACCTCAGCGTCGGCTCTGGGACCTTGCCCCCCCCTCCATCCCCCCCCTATCCCCACCCCATCCCGCCCCAAACCCGTCCGCAAGCTGACGCTTTGCAGTCCTTGCAGCCATCTCATTTGCAGACTTAATTGGGGGGATGGGCACAGCCAATAGGGAGGGTTCTCCGCCCGGAGGGGCTCATTCCGCGGGATTTTAAAAGCCGGGCGGGCGGCGGGG